GGGTGTCGTTGTGGGTGTGGGAGTGGATGCGGGTGTGGGTGTGGGTGTGGATGTGGGTGTGGGTGTGGGTGTGGGTGTCGGTGTGGGTAGGTGTTGGGGTGGGTTCGGGTGTGACTGTTGGTGTGTGTTGTGGGTATGGGGCGTGTCAGCAGCAGAGAAACACCCACACCCACACCCACACCCCCACTCCATCCACACTCACCCAGGGCTCTCGACTGTTTTTAAGAGTGGCGGTCGCTAATAATTTTTCGCAGACTGTACTCATAAATGCCTCCCAATTTTCCCAAAAGTCAGAAGTGAAGACCAAAAAAAAACCGTCTTTACCTAGATTTTCTAGGCGTACTGAAGTACCTTTGCGACCGCCAGTCCCTTTCAACCCGAACTCTAAGCGCTACTAAAAATTTCACAGACAAATAGCAAAATTTTCGCAGATAAATAGCAAGAAAATTTTCGCAGACACGCTAAAGAAGTGCCGGAGGCTAGCCCCCGGCATCCCCCGGCACATCGAGGGGCCTGCACCCACCCACACCCACACCCTTCATGAGACTTCATGAGACTTCATGAGACTTCATTAGACTTCAAGAGACTTCATGAGACTTCATGAGACTTTATGAGACTTCAAAGACTTCAAGAGACTTTATGAAAATTCATAAGACTTCAAGAGACTTCAAGAGACTTCAGAAGACTTCAAAAGACTTTCAAGACTTCAACGGACTTCACGGCTAAAGTCTCTGCTGTTTCCCCCTTGAGTTCAGTTATGCATCTGCTATTTTATATCATGTTTCATATACATTCTGACACTAATTGTATTCATACTGTCTCCTCAATGAAGTAGCATCACAAAGTATACCATTTCATCTCTTTTCGTTGGAAAATTTACCTTATAATAACCAAAGTTGAGGCTGTGAATGAGTGTGATACGTGTCATGTTTCTCTCACACGCGCATCCATACCCATATTCTCAAGCTAGTTATATGTAGATACATAGAACATGCCGATCACTACTATTATCAGTACAAAAAGGTTTCTGTTATATTTTATCTAAAGTGCATATAAGGTGCGGATGTGAGTGTAAGATGCTGAGAACGTTCACACGCACATCCATATCCACGCGTTTCTTCTGTTCTGTGAATAAGGACTTTTTTGCTTTCATATTCCAATCTTAGCTTTCAATTCAGTATATCAAGATACAAATAGTTTCGTTTGGTGCATTTATATCATTGAAAAAATTTCTATTAAAAGTTCTTGAATTCGCTGCTATATTATCTTTCTAAAAGTGAAAATTGTGTCTTCCACTAATGATACTCTTGGTGAAATATTAGCATAGAAAAAGTCATTCTTTTTAACGTGGTTTGCTGTAAGACTATTTTACGTGTAAGAACTACTTGAATCAAGACACTAGATTGCGTATCTTGAATACCATCAAGCGGAGCTCTCTTAAAATTACTTTCTGACCATCAAAATGTCATATGTCTATGCCAAATCGATGTTTTTTTTGTGTATAGCTACTCTTTACTTTTAACTTGAATTTTATTACTAGTCGAATAATGTTAGAAACTAAATTACTTACGTGCTATGTGATACTGAAGTGTACAAATATTGTTCTGTGTGCTCGTAATTAATTTTTACTCTGTATTTATCATTGACAACATTTTTTGGTTTTTTTTCCACAAACATATATTTACATGAATCAATGAAGCATGACGTTTTCATCACGTATACGCCTTTTTTCATCGATGTGCTCGTCGTCACAAGTATTTCGTTTTTCATATATTCTCTTGCTTCTTTTTTTTTGTACCTTAGCTTTGTGTTTCGTGTTGTTGCTATGACAAAATATACACTGATATTTGCATATGCGTAAATTTGAGTTGTAATAATTCATTTGACTTTGAACTTTATTATAATCTATGTATATATCTTGGGTGTGAAGTGTGGAGGTGTGTGTGGATGAGGGTGTGGGTGTCTCTGGGTGCGAGAATATGAGGGTATAGGTGTGCGAGGAGTATCGACACCGATGCTCACACCTACATCCATCCATCCACACCCACACCCACATCCACACCCTCCTAAACTCTTTAAGGGTTTAGGAAGCCTCATAATCCCTTAAAGGGTTTAAGAAATCAATAATAAACGACAAAAGGGTTTATCAATATACGGTGAAGGGTTTTGGAATTTAATAAACCCTTTTCATAGGGTTTATTATTCTACGAATTTTTTTACAGTGTAACACTTCGGACAATATTTTTCTTTGTTCTTGTTTGTTTTGACTTTTGAAGTCAAATTGACTGGAATTATATGCTTGTTAAGTCGTCAATAGATCTGGCGTTGATAGACTAATCGTTTCTACATGCATATATGTAATAATATTGCTATTCCAAACTAGTATGTACAGACAAAGCAGAGTAGTGTCCGAAATAAGCTTAATAATATTCTTTGTCAGAACATTCAGTTTTTTTTTTCATTAAAACCGCAGTTTCATGCAAAATAGATCTTGGATTCATAATCAACAATGTTGATAATTAGATTTAAATTAAATTGAACTACTTGGAAAAAAAACTCTCATTTACATTTCTTTCAGAAGTTGATATTGATTCTAATTATGCAGTTCTTGAAAAAATTATTGACGGTAAAAAAATGGTCTTATCGTCATTGGTCGTTTATTCAGAAAAAAAAATCTAGGATAGTGTAGATTTTACAACCAGGAATAGATATTAATAAGTGCAGAATATTTAAAATGTTTGTTTTCTCAAATGAAACTTGTGATAAATAGGTTGCAATAGATTCGACTACCATCGACTAATCAAAAAAAAGAAAAATTCCTGTCTTAAAGCAATTGCATTTCGATTGATCTGTTGAATTTAATAAATATCAATAGTAAGATTTACTTCAAATCCGGAATAAATAGATCATAACTTGAAAATGGGATTGCATCTTTCTTTTTTTATACTATTTTCTAACCAAAATCGAATTTTCAAATAATTTATTTCTGGTGTAGATTGATTATTCAAACTAGACGATGATGATCGGCTTTGATTCCGAGATATAACTACCAATGGTTTCTTTTTTTTATGTTTCCAGTTGAGAATTAAACTCAAACTAAATAATAATAGAAGAAAGTCTATAATGGGCCAAAAATATTTGTCCAAAAAATTATCTTGAGTAATACTATCAGTAGGAGTTCGATCCATTGATTCACATTGTTCAAAGTAACACCAATGTCGATTTGGAAGCAATTTTCGAAAAAATAATTTTATTCAATATTCTGGTGCTTGATCGAAAAAATCAATAATTTCTTCTTCGATATTAGTAATTGGATACCATTTAGTACTAAATAGATGAGCAGCACGAATAACAAAATTTGGTGGTGGTCTATTGGCAATAGCAGATGAAATTATTTGATAGATTAATTTAGAATCATGAATAGGTGATGGAATATTGTTTCGAGTTCGAAATCGAGCAATACCACAGCAATGAACATCACCACTGAATAATGTTATTCTTGTTTTTTTCATTTCTGCAAGTTTTCGAAGACGAGAAAGTATACAATTTCGTTCTTTAATATGTGCTTCATGTATCCATTCATCGAGAAGATCATCATAGATTTCAGGAAAACCAAAAATTGAATTTGTATGTTCACTAAATGGAATATTTTGATGTTTCATAGTCCATTTTTTCCATGTTTCAAGAAGTGTTTCTGCTACTTTAAAACGTGCAAATGAAAATGGAACAGCTAATATAACAATCAAATGTTGAACATTTTCTAGATCAACATTCAATTTTTCGAATATCATATTCCATGTACAAATACGATGAAGACATGATATTTCTATCAAATTTGTATATGAAATAATGGAGATGCAGAAAAAGCATTCTGGTTAATAAATAAATTTATTTTAATGGAAATTTTCGATCCTAACGATCATTTTCAACCTTATACCACAAAACTTAAAAACAGATGTTACAACAGAAGAAAAAGTTACAAAATTAATGAAAATAGTTGCTGTGATATCATTTACTTGGACATCATTAACATTGTACACCATTAACATTAAAACATCATAACCGATGGAAAACATGTAAATTTGAGACAAATCTCATGTATTTATCTTGTTTATACATAATCATTATAAATGTTAGTAGATCATAAACATGAGTTATATAAGTAGGTATATAGGTATTTGAGTAAATGTAACTGTGAATTATTACAATTTTATTCAATGATAACGTGTTATTATTATATTATCAATCAAATATTTCACATGAATTTACAAGTTTACCATCGGTCATGATGTTTAATATTAGTGATGTACAAGTTAAACTGTTTTCTCTCTGTTGTAACATCTGTTTTTAAGCTTTGTGGTATAAGGTTGAAAATGATCGTTAGGATCGAAAATTTCCATTAAAATAAATTTATTTATTAACCAGAATGCTTTTTCTACATCTCCATTATTTCATATACAAAAATAATACCACATAGTTTACTTCTTTTACATTATGTTCGTTTACCTGATGATGATACATCAAATGATTTTTGGGCTTATATTTATGAACAACGTTGTCATTCAATTGGATGATGTAAAGAAAATAGTAAATTAATGTCATCATCATTAATTGTCACTAAACGAGTTATTCAACAAACAACATTAAATAATAATCATACAACATCAAATGGAAATGATAAACAATCAAATATATCTAAAGGAGATACACCTAATATTAATCAAACATCATTTTATTATTTATTTAATAAAGTAAACATTTTTACGTTTTCTTAATTAAGATTTTTCTAATGAAAAAATCTTTACAGAACCTCTTAATAGTTTATTTAATCATTTCGTGGCGAAATGAATATTCCTTTTTAATAATTCATGAAAGGTTTCATTTCTTTATTTGTGGCAACTGTAATACTTCAAAACAGTTTTTATCAGTGTCCTCTATTGAATATGCACTATGAATAGTTCTTAATCAGTGGTAAAAAAATCAGACCCTTTAGCCAAAATATGGACGAAATATTTAATTTTTTCTGCGTTAGAGGAACTTGATAACCAATCTATAATGAAACCCACCGGTGAGTCTCATCGCCTCGAATGGGTTAAACAGTTAAACAAAGTAAATATTGTACATTACGAGCACTTCATTTGATTTTTTTGTTATTATATATAGGTATATACTGCAGACAATCAAATGAATATTTGTGTCTATAAGTATTAGAATAAAAATAATTTAGTTCATGATTATATTTGAGCTATTGTTCATTTCAAAAAATAAAAGGCGAATCAGTAGTTTTTAAATAACATTTGATACAATCGCTGTAGAGAGTTGCATTTTTCACCGTTGAAAAGAGGAGATGAAGCCCCACCGAATAGTGTATTATAGGTTTATCTAAAACTATGAAAAATGCATTTCTACAGGTATTGGTAATAAAATCAGCTCTATAACTATTGAACGGATAAGCGTAAAAGACTGGATCTTGTGTAGTTTTAAAGATCTTTATTTAGCAGTTCGAATACATACCTGATTAGTTACCTTACAGAGTATCTTAGTTTTCTAAAACGTCGATTTAAGTGCTTGATAAAACTAGATCAAATTGCTCCGTAATATACATTTCGATGCATCTCCATCTCCGCTTTTCAATGGTGAAAATCGCAGTTCCCTACATTGATCCTATCAAAAATTATTCAAAAAATATCCTCCGGTCTTTTATTTTGAAATAGACAGTACCTATTATTTTTAAAACGAATATTGTAAGTCGAGTTCGGCAAAATGACACTAAATAAAGATGTTATAAAAATTAAATTGATACAATCAAAGATATAATATAGTGACTCACGATCAAGTGTTCAAATTTTCCTATAGAGACTATTCCATTGCATAAACAACAGTGCACCGAATTATGATTAAATAATGTTATTTAAAATCATTAATTTGCATGCGGCATAGAACATGTTTTTGCTTTTGAAATAACTACAGCATTTGACAGTAGTTCATTTTTCACAAACGCGATAAGCTTCATCGATTTTGTCTTCTAAAAACTTTATACTCTTTCGCAAAAAATATTAAATCTTCCGAACTTGATTTACAATTTTTGTTTTGTAATCATAGATAACTCATATTTAATATTTGAATGCTTACAAAAACTAAAAAAAAAGGGGGTTCTACAAATTAGTTAAATTTTGATAAAATAGACGTTTCATAGTCAACAAGTATTTTATCCAAGTAGTCAAGTATTTGGTTCTTTCAAAGTTGATAATTATATGTTTATGTTTACAAAAACTAGATATTCGTCTATCGGAAGTAAAAAATTTGAATAAAACACTATGACTAATCATCTAGTATATTTGTTTAAAATTAAAGATTTTGTTTCATTGAGATGACGAAAAGAAAAATCATATTTTTAAAATTTTAGAAAATCGATTCAAATGCTTGTGAACAATTAAGAAAAAGATATGTTACTTGAATTAAAAGATGCAAATCGTCCATGGATTGTATAATTTGTTCGAATAATAAATAATCGTGGTGAACGATTACATCTTCGATATATAACGAATGTGAATGATGATGATTCTAGTTTATCTTTACATTATATCTTGATCGTCGTGTTCATTTTATTGATTGAATAAAAAAAAAAAAAATTCTTCTATGTATTTTTATAATATTTCAACATGTTTAACATTAGTAATCGATAAAGAAAAATTAATTGATATATGTTTAAATAAATCAAAAGAATAATTTCTTCCATCAAATTTATTTAAAGAACAAGAAGAAATAGTTAAACATCGTTTTATTGAAGGAATGAGATTAGAAGTATTTGAAACAACTAAACAAAATATTTATATTAGTAGAATAGGTCATATTTATAATGATTATTATTTTGATGTTATTATTGATCATGATAATGAATTATCATTTATAGCATATTCAACACATCCACATATATTACCAGCACATTGGGCTGCTGAACATAAACTTGCATTAATGTATGGTAAAGATATTCGATGATCTGAAGATTATTGGAATTTATATATTGAAAAAATGGTATTAATAATATAGCACCTGAAAGATATTTTAATTTATTAACATTAAATGCTGTTGGAAATAATCATGTTGAAACAGGAATGAAAATGAAAATGGTTTATATATTGAATAATAATGATTATGATTTTTCTGTAACACTTATTCATATTATAGATCATCTTATGTAGTTAAGAGTTGATGATATTAGTTTATTTAATGATGAAAAATTATTTTATCATATTTTACCAATTAATTCATTAGATATTTTTCCTGTTGAATGGGCAAAATTTAATGGATTTGATTTAATAATACCTACTCAATATGAAACTAATATGAAAACATATGAACAAAATCGATATGAGTAAGATTTTTGTTTTTTGATAATCATATTACATGTTAAGTACCAAAACAATCTAATTACGAAGGAAATATCCGAGCTGTTATTCACTATTTGTATTTATATTAAGTTTACAAGAAGAAATAAAATAATGTTAAAAGGATTCGTGCCCATAGACCTCTAGATGCGAGTTTTGACTATTTTACTTAACCTTCGATGCAACTATAGGTATTTACTGAAAAAAAAACAAATAATGAAATTTTGTGTATAGATAAATCAAATGACTCTGGAAATAGCCGCAGAATTTAGATGACGAAACAGTATTTCTCTGCCAAGATATTCAATGTCTAAAAAATAGTCTATCGTCACGATAATTGACTTTGTTTGAAAATTTGATATGTCGACAAAAGAATATCATTTTCAATTAATTTTTTAACCATATTATTATAATCATCTGATCTCAATGTGAATAATATTGAAAGTCGAAATTTTACTATTTCTTTGTTTTGTTCAATACCTAAAACTTGACTGAAAATTCAGTAAAATATTCATAATTCGATTGCAGAGATCCATGAATAAAATCCATTTTCAGGATTTTTCTAAGTCTTTTTGTGAACTTAATATGAGCTGTTCCAGCTAATATCTGTTTACAAAGTTTTCTCGTCAGAGATGAATAATTTGAATTTTGAATTCATACAGTTTCATTAGGTCTCATTGAATAAATGAACTTGCAAGTAAAGAAAGATTCAATTTTTTGATAATTACATTTAAAACTAATTTGCTTATCTATAGAGTTATATGATACATAAATATTCAATGATAAAATCTATGTTTCGAAGATTGAGAAAGAAATTTTTCAGCTAAAATTTCTAAAAACTAAGCATAGTAAAAATGCTTTAAAAAAATCAATATTTCTTCTACTAGATTTTGACGTGATTTATAAATAATCAATAAATTTTTAACTCACTAGAAAATCAATCACGATTAGAAAGTCTAAGACATATTGATAATTAGTTGTTAACTTAGCTATCTAATCGAATACTAGCCAAAAATCTTTCTTATCGTCTTCATTTAATAGAATATTTTTTCATCAAATTTCTTATTTGATAATAATGTTAAAAAATTGTTCGATACTTTTTTTTTTGTTTATTGCAGTTGAAGAACTGTTTCAACATTTTTAACATTTATTTGATTTATTATTCTCGATCAAATATTCCTGTTTCCTTTTTATCTGTTGATAGATAAGATTAGTTTAGAACATCAATTTGATTGTCGTTCTCACATTCAATTGATGTATAACACTTATGATTAGATAATTATCCTTTTCGAAAATTTAACTAATCGGATCGATAGAAAAATATAACGTTGTGTGATAAGAATAAATTCTCGACAAAAAACTTACGTAAAAACATAACAACCACATCCATACAACTTATGAAGCTAGTATCATTCTATGAAGATATTTAGTAAGATTCGTAAATGGTCATACTGTTTTTTGTCTAATTCTAACTTTAAAGATTTCAATATTATCGAGAACAACCATGTTGAAAATCTTAGTCATTAAAATGATATTTTTCAAGTTGGTTTCTAACTGGTTACTTTTTTTGACTTATCATGTGTTTTCTCACTATTTATCGATTTGTCGCTTTGTGTTAAGCTATTATTGATTTGATTTTTCTTTGCTTGCTCTGTCGTATACTAATAGTCTAATTCTTTATCTGTCTTGGTCTAGTTCGTCGGTTGATTCATTTGTCTTTGTCTAGTTCATAGTTTATTGTTGTTGAATGTCATATATATATATATATATATATATTGGCTTAATTGTATTTTCTCGTTGGTTCGATATCAAATTTAACTTGAATCAATTCACAATTTATTTTGGTTTGAATTGTATTATATTCTGCAGCACATTTCATTTCTCATCGATTAATATTTTTGGTTTTTTACAATGGTATCAGATTTATTATATGAGATACAAAAGGAAATTGGATTAGTAGAGATGCTTCTTCATCAGAAAAAAGACGATGAAGCTCTTAAAGTATGTAATTATTGGTTTTTTTTTAAATAAAATATTTCTATTTTGTATTGTTAGCAATTAAGTAACATTATCGAAAAACTCGGTGGTAACAATAATAACAAGTTTCAAAATGAACAACTATTAGATGCATTTATAGTAGCATGCAAGAGAAGAATTTTTGTTTACCATAAAAAAGAAAAATATGAAGGTAATAAGATAGCGTCTTTCTTTCATACCAGCACTGAGTTTTGCTATGATTTGTTTCTTTTTCTTTTTTTTTAGAAATCTTACTCGACATAAAAACATTACAAAATGTCAAATACGATATTTATCAAGATGATGATGTTCTTTTAAAAACGCTGTAAGAGAAATATTATTTCTTCACTATATTTTACTTTAAATTTTGTATAGGGAATCTGAATCTGAAATAAACAAAAACAACATGTTGATTGAATTAGAAAAATTCAAAATTAATTGTAAGTGCATACTATTATGTATTTCAAATAATAGAAATGATCTTTTTTTTCTGTCGTGTTTAGCCAAGTTGATTGATGCTGCAAAAGAAAACATAGATGCTCATTTTAATATAGATAAAATGTTTTCGAGAGAGTGCGTGTTCATACAAGAAAATAAATTTATTTATTTCTTAATAATTTTAGAAACGAAAAAAAAGCCTCGAAAAAACGAAAAACCATGGGTCGATAACTGGATTGGTATTTTCTGGCTTTCGACATTCATAAACATTTTTTATGTTATATGCACAAAGATGTTTATTTGTATTCTTTTTTTGTGTTTAATTGTTAAAATAAGAAAAAAATGTTGTTATTTTTTGTCACTCAATAAACAAAAAGAAGAGCAAATATGTGCTCAATTAAATTATATGAATTAATTTTTTTTGATAAATAAAAATATTTTAGATAATAATTTGCAAAACTATAGATTTTCTTGATTAACCATTTCAAAAAGAGAACTCAAAGAGGATTATTTTATTGTTCGATGGCTTTTGCAATTGTACGAGATTCTTCACCAAGTTATGATGATATTTCTTTCCCAACACCTATTAATTTTCTGCAGATTCCAGTATCTTTAAGAGCGCTCATATTCAACGAAAAAAACTCGAATTAGATAATCATTTTTATTACTTTGCGTTCAATTGTGATTATAGTCTAAGCTGTAGAAAAACTGTTTGTTATAATTTAAACTTCACATTCAGTTTCACCTGGAAAAGTGATATTCATAGATTAATAATGATCTTGTGATACGGAATAAAGGTTGACATCACGTCATTGAAACAATGCCCATTTATATCGTAATTGATAAATAGAGTTTATCTCATGTGTATCAAGTATCATCTTAATACTCATCGAACAAAATTCACAGAAAACCGTTTTGCTTGAGAATATTTATAAAGGATGAATATTGCATATAAAATCAATAATAATAATGCGTCGAGACAATTCAATCAAAATTTTTACATGAACTTTTCGAGTTAAACTAGAGAAAAACAATTGTTAGTTGACTTTCTTTTACCATTAATCAATTGAAACCATTTATGCTGCATCATCAATTAAATTAAATCAAATCATTCAAAAGAATTGAGACATAAATGATGTTTCAGACGTTCTACTACAAGCTTCAGATTCATTCTCGTGTCCAATAAAAAGAAACTTGAAACTTTGAAAAATTATCGTACATACAAATTACTATATAATCATAAAGTTTGGAGTCTATAGCTTTTATTATGAATGAGAACCAGTAACAACATTATCATGTATTAAATTTTCAGTTTTCCTGATCATTTTGATTGTTATTAAAAAAAAAACTGTACACAATAGAAATTTAAAAAATGCACAAATAATAGGTATCGATGCCCGCATCATTGATTAACTAAATTTATTACATTCATTTTCCAAATATTCAATATCAATAGTTTTGTCGCTGTAATTTCACTTTTAATGTTGTTAAGGAAGTTTTAATCCATCCAAATCAATCGAAAAGTTGTGCTGCTAATTAGACGACCTTCGGCCTATCGAAAACGATCTGAAGGATATTACAAGTGAAATTGCAATGATAAAACTATTGATATTGAATACTTGGAAAGTGAATGTAATAAATTCAGTTAATCAATGATACGAGCATCGATACCTATTATTTGTGCATTTTTTTTATTCCTATTGTGTATAATTTTTTTAATAATAATCAAAGTAACTAGGAAAATTGAAGTATTAGTAGATAATAATGTTGTTACTAGTCCTCATTCATAGTAAAAAGCTATAGACCTCAAACTTTCTGGTTATGTAGTACTTCATATGTACAGTAATCTGCCAAAGTTTCGAGAAGTTTTCTTTTGTCGAACTCGAGAATGATGAATTTCAAACTTGTAATAGAATCTCTGTGAAACTCTATAAGCTAATGCGTAGCAAAATACACAAAACTGATGATATTAAATAATTATTCAATACTTTCAAAAGTTTTTTTTTTTATTAGGAATATTTGATTAACCTTTAAATCAGTAGTTGTCAATTGAAGTTATTATTCTAGATTTGATAGTTAATTCTACAAGATTGCACATATTCTTTATGCGTAAAAAAAGTATTGATTAAAATCTCCAATACGAAGCCATACAGACAATCTTAAAGCATAAAAGAAAACATTTCGAAAAGAGTCTACGGAACATAATTAAATATTTAGTTTTATTATGTTTTGAAAATGAAATTGATTTACACTTTGTAATACCTTGGTATAGAATGATTGAAAAGAGAGGAATGCGTGATTGTACTTCGAAAAAAACCTAGAATTTGTACTCTCAAGCACTGTGGATGTGGATGCAATAAAGAGAAGATACACTAACATCCACACTCAAGAGTGTCGCCACAGCGGGGAGTGATCCTCAATCCTGAAAATTTTTCATTTTTTTGCTCACCAGTTTTCGAAAACAAACTTAATCTCCTAAAGTTCGATCATTTTTAGCAACTGAAGGTCAGTGACCGTTACGCACATGTTTTCATTTCTCTCAATAGAAAATGCTCAAGAAATTGAGTCGATAAAATTACTAATCGTTTTCACAACACGTCTTTTCCCCATTACTGTTTCCCAAAATATTAGATTCACTACTGATGAATTCATGATATGATGTAAAGAAAAAGGTTCGTTCTTTTCAAATGATTTTATCAATCGACAAAAGTTAAGGGTTTGGGTGTGAGGTGTGGGTGCGGGCGTGACCATATTCTTCTTTTATCCCCCACACCTACACCCACACCCACACCCTCCCTTGCGATATATTGTTCTTAGTAATGAAATAATGTGACCTTTTTCAATATATTTCACCTCAATAATTTCTGTATCTACATCATGTTCATCGAAATAAAATAAAAATAAAATCTATCGACTCACAAACATATGATATCCTATCGAAAAAAGGATAAAAAACCAAAAAAAAA